GACAGATCTCTTCCCTGGCTTCCTGTTGACTGTGCTTGTACTTTGCTGTGTGACCCCTTTTATGGCATTTTTTATGGCTTAATAGGCTCAAAAAACGACGTGGGTATAATTAGGAGGGTCGAGAAATAGGAACACTAAAATATTATTTTATTTTTCAACGGGAACTCGTGCGTCGGGCCTATGCGTAAACGACGATGATGGTCATTTTGTGACGGGGCCTTGTCCCATTCACATCCAGCTCTTGCTCTTGAGTATGTTAGTTTATTTGCCTGCAAATCAGCTCAGATATGTCTTATTTTATTTTATAACAATTCTCTCACAAAGTACTAGATCCAGGTGTTTGGATTAAATTTGTATATGCCTATGTAAATTGTGTCACTCTCCCAACATACTGCCTGTGCATTCATTCTACTCAGATAAATCAACCTCAACTGGTTAATGAAGGACTGACATCTTTTCTGCCGAGCTGTTTCCCTAGCATTCTGATGTAAAGTGGCCAATCTTATTGCAGTTTAAGCATTGCATCTCTTGGCATGATCTCTGGGTACTCATCCCAATGGGACGTCTCATTGCACTGTCCTGGCCATTGTAGCCCTGGCCTTTGCACCTGTAACAGGTGATGCCTGTTTGGGGATTTGCCTCAAGCAGAATTTCAACCTCACTTTGAGGTAGCTGCACCCACCTCCCTGATCATTGGACTACAAGTGACCACTCAAAGAACAAATGTTCAGCTGCAATATTGGTCATAAAGGTCACATCTGCCTTGCTATTTGAGAGATTAAATAAAAATGTTTGTACTTCATACCAAACTTAGCATCTTAGTCCATTTTGCTAGAAATTGCTTCATTTGCCTACATAGCATGCCATGCTCGTTGCCATTTCTACATAACCTATATCACAATTATTGCATGTTTTGCAAGTTTTCATGCCGAAAGTTAGGTTAGAAATCTACTTAAGAAAAAGATCTGTTTATCGTAAAGGTGTACTATAGAATTATTAAATAAATTCTAAGTTTATCCCCCTCGTCCAGTTATAAGTTTCAACATTGATTTAATAGCTAAAAAAATACATTAAAAAACTCATATCAAAAACGGTTTCCAAAATAGTCTCGTGAAATTTAAATAGAAAAACAAAATTTTTAATGGCCAAAAAAAAATAAATAAATAAATAAATAAATAAAAAACACAAACGGGAAACATGACTCAGAATTTATTTGACTGACTACTTTTTTTCACAAGTAAGTCAACAACAGAAAATAATAATTTAAAAAATAAATCTCTCTGCAATTCTAAAATTTAGTCAATTGGAGCCCGACGACAAAGTTAGAACCAACTCAATTCATGACAGATTCGTCATGAAACATAACATCAACAAAACTTTTTTTTTTTTTTTTTTAAAAACACACAGACTATTTTTTTGTGTGTGTGTATTTGTTGTGTCGATGATGAGGATGATGATAAAAAAATACGCCTTTTTAAGAGATTTTAAATTAAGTTTTTTGGCCTTAAATTTCATTAACATTTATCATTTTTATTTCGAGTCATTTTAAACACTTTTTTACTTCAGTAATAATTCTAGGTTAGGCGATTGACTGGATTTTTTAAAAATTTCAAATTAAATAAACAATTAAAAAAAGTAAGCTATTTGTAAATTGTATGAAATTGAATTTATTAAATGAATAAACACTGAAATTATCTCCTTTTTAAACCCAGAAAAGATGTAAGAAGTTATTACTGTTGCTTTTTTGTGCGTTTTTATTTGAAAAATCGAGGAAAAAACGATTAAGTTTCGATTTAAATTTTAACTTTTGGAATGTAAATAATTAAAAATTCTTTGACAAAAATATTAATTAGATTTTTAGAGAAAAAAACACTAAGGTAAGACTCCTTTCCTTAATATTCACTTTTTTTCATTTATTTTTTTTCTCGTAAGAATTGAATCAAAATTCAAAACAAAAACGAAGATTCGCTACTATTCTTTCTTTACGTTCGGTTAATTAATTAAAATTTAATTATTAGTTTTTTAAAAAGTCATGTATTAATTACATTAAAAAAACGGTTTATGTCTTGATTTTTATTTTTTGTGAATATTTTTATGTTTGATATTGCTTTCCTTTTTTTCCATGATGACATATGGAATCGGTCGGGTCAAGCAATACCAAATATTGTTTTAAATTTTTTAAAGTAATTTTGGTTTGAAGTTTGAGTTCTTAGATTAAGTTTCAACCAAGTATTTTTAAAACTAATAAAGAAAAAATATAGTTCTGCTCACAGTTTGGACTTCTGGTCATATTTCTAATTGGGTAAGATAAGATTAAGATTAAGAAGAAGAAGGATCAGTTTGCTTTTATGTGTTTTTTGTAATTTATTCAAAAAGAAAGAAAAGAAAATAGATTTTTTGAGCTTAAAGCCTTCCACCTTGTTGATCTAAAAAAAAAAACCCAGAAAAGTACATCTCGTTTTGTACTTTTTTTCCGAAAGTTTGATTTTAATTAATTGCAAGAAAATAATTAATACCACAAAGTGACAAAAATTATATTGTTTTTCTTATCTTTAGCTTCAATTGAAAAGTAAAACTTTTTGAAATATTTTTTCTTCTTTTAAAATAAAAAGCTATTTTAAAATTATTCACCAAAATAAGCACAAAACAATTTTTAAAAATTTCTGATTTCGATTTCCCTTCTTTTTTTTTCTTTTTTGAGTAGGGTCGTAATTATTATTTTTTAATGATTGTTTTTATTTAAAAACGTATTGCAATTATTTTAAAAAATATCTTCCTTTGAAGTTTTTTTAACTGTAAGAAAATAAAACATTTGTTGCAAAAATAAAATGTGTGTTAGAGCACTAATTATTTTTTATTACTAAAACGTTGCACATATGCGCACATTTTTTACTGGACATAGTGATGTAGGTTGTGAGCAATGTCATACCTGACCTGCTAAAAAAACTCAACGTCAATGCCACTGCCTTCTTTAAGGTTTTGGACATGGTTGTCAGACCCTGACTCAAGCAAGGGGATTATAACAGTATGTATTCCAGCAGAACTCTGCACCAACCCACATAACCCAAGAATGACTTTCAAAATTTTCATGATCATGTAACCTCCTACATTTGAATCCCCCTGGACTATTATGTCTGAGGCTCAAATGAGAGACTAATCAGAGCTTAGGTTTTATTGAAGGCAGTCATTGTGGGCATGACGACCAAAGTGAACCAAAGCCACCTGATAAATGTAGTCATTTCCATTTCCAAGGTCGCATTGAGGCTGTCCTCAAAACTAAAGATGGTTTTATATGGAATAACCTATATCTCTTTTACTAAATTGAACAGGAGTATAATTTTTTGTGAAAATATACTAATTTTTTCTATTGCATACATTTGTTTTTTTTCTTTATATTATAATTTGTTCTTAGTTACCTGGCACACGTGTATGCACACACGCACACACACACACACCCCATCATCATCATCATCATCATCATCGATATATGTTAAAACAGGTCAATCAGGCTATGTTTTTAGGTTTCCTTACCCATGTGATGAAAGAATGATACAAATTCAACATTATTTGTAATGTAAAAATATATCCTCAATATTAAAACACCATAGATTGGAAAACATGTTTACATTTGATATTACTAAAATTCTGGCTGCTGTTTCTGGTTCTCATCATGATATGCATTTTCAATTAAAGAAATTGAATGACCAATGAACCTTTCTTTGTGATTATTTTTTCATTCAAGCCTGCACAGAGGATTAAAATTTATAAACTACCAATAAAGTATGGTTAATTGCACGTAAAATAATGAAAACTTGGAGTATTTATGTTGGAATTTTTGAGATGAACAATAATCATTATTCTTAATATTAAAACCAGAATGGCCTTTCTTGCTTGTTATACTCTTAATATTTTAGTTGCTTTATCCTTCAACCTTATTCAGTCAGTTGCTATTGTACTCTGTAATGTTCTTGGAATATTGAATCCAACCAGTCATTCAATCCATGGATATGGTATTTATCTCTGTACTAGGTCTAATGATGAGGTTGTCATTGCTTAACATGTGTCCCGGTTCTTTCAATTGTCATATCATCTCATGTTGTTCTTGGTCTATTACCTTGGTTTCATTCCACAGGGATTAATGACCATCCTTTTCTCTCCATCTTTGAGCCTCTGATTAAGAAAACCCCAAAATTTGATGACCTGAGTTAAGACATCAAGTTTAAAGCTCCAGAATTACGCCACTAGATTTTCCAAGTGAATTAAAGTATTGATTAGAACATATCTAGTTACTTTGCAGTTATGAGTTCAATCCTTGGGTCACATGCTCTAGTTTGATAGAAGAAATGGACAAGCAACGTAAAGGTGAATAAGACATGGGAAGTGAAATGAGAACAGTCTACAGCCATACAATAAAGTGATCACAAAGTGTTTTTTCATTTTAAGCAAACTAAAAATGCACTTCAATAGAACAAGTAAATTTTGAATTAAGAAAAACAAGTAAGGGTAAATTTTTGTAATCACACATTTTTATTTAATGACAACTTGCAGTAAACGTAAAGGAACAAAATTAACTTTAGTTGTTTTACCATGAAGTTAACAGTCTAGCAGAGACTGTCATAATTCTCACTGGGTATCTACACTTATGAAACTCAATGAGCTAACTTAGGGATATCAATTAATAAGTAAATATTGTTGCAGTGAGGGTAAGAAAGAAGTATGTACTTTAATGTTTAGTCTATATAAAAATGAATTGGGTTGGTTAGTTGAGCCATTGATTTATTTAAGCTTTCTTGTTGCTTACTTGAATGTAGAGTGGCTCCATAAAAACTTGATTGATTTATAGATTCACATTTTAAATTTAGTACCTCTACAATGGCATTTATAAATTAAGGGAGATAACCAGTTACTACAGGCTCATTGATTGCAAGGTTTCAATAGGCCTTTTATTGTTCATTTTCATTTTTATAAAAAATAAATTAATTTTTTGTTCTTTTCCACAGGAAGATGTCAACAATTCGCAGTAGTCAGAGCAGTGCCGCTCTTATTCAAAAGCAACTGAACAACATTGGCCCTAAAAGCTGGTTATTGTCTAGTCAAATAGCTGCGGCTGACCCTCGGCTTACATCATGCTACATATATAAAAGGACAGCAACTGGGAATGTGACATCCAAAAAGAAACGTTATATTTTAAACGTTTTCAAAGATCAGTTTAGGAGCCTTAAGAATAATAATCCATTGGGCAATGTATCAGTCATCCGTGAAATGGACATTCAGCAGGTGGCAAAAACTTATTATGACAAGTTAGTAGTACCATGGGTGGACATGCTTAAGAGCAATGAGGCTTCTCAGTCAAAAGCTCTGCAGAAGAAACAGCAGCAGCAACTGCAATCATCACCACCAGCACCACCACCACCACTATTGCTTCCTTTGAAGGAAACAAAGGTTGTGGCAAAAACAAAGAATCTTTCCACATTTGAACAGTTGATGCAAGACACACATGAAAGTGTTGCATCATTCTATGACTCTAACATTGTCAAGAAGCCAATTTCTAGCACTAAGATCCAGGATAAACCTAGTCACTTGAAGAAGGAAGAGGTTGGTTTTAGTAAAATGGTGTCATGGATGTATACCAAAAAAGAATCAGTAGAAACTAAAGGAAGAATTATTGAAAAAAAGCCTGTGATAAGAAAAGATTTTGTCTCTCGGACATCTGTTGAAAACCGATCTCGGGCATTGGTCAGTAATCTGAAATTAGCCAGATCAGATTCTTCCAAATTATCCCGAATGGCAGATATTTGTAAACACATCATCCTGTATCCTGCCTCAAGATCAGTTATTGTCAAGGTAAGTACTTTGAATATACTAGTATAGCACCCATAAATGAGCAAGTGTGGCTAAGATCACAGTATCTGTGAGTTGAGCCCAAGATCACTTCCCAGCCCACAAGCTAGGATCAATATACTCTCTTTATGCTCTACCTAACTTAGCTGTTCAATAAGTAGAATTTTAACATAATGTATATATCACTTAGCTGCTTTTATCTAGTTTAAAAAGATCAAATCCAAACAGGATTTACTTGTTAATTTTACATTTCATTTTATTATGGACAAATAACCAGGACAACAGAAGGTATCACTGTTCATTATATAGATTTATTCTATATATAGATATATTTTTCCATTTTGTCATTCAATTACCCACTATATTTTTTTATATATTCACGAACAAAATTATCCATGTTTCTAGAGTAAAAAGTAACAAATATACCTTTTGAAATAATTTACATTTAAGACCAGAAATCTAAACATGTATATATTAAGTTCTTTGCTTTTATAAATTTCAGTTAATGTTAGAGGGCTTTTTTGGTAATTGTCAAGTCTGTGCTTAGAATTATTAAATGTTAAGTGTTTGATAGAAATTAAACAATGTTTTTTTATTTTACAGATTATGAGGATTTGTAAATATTTGATAGACTTGCAATTTTCACATTCTCATATCTGTAGCTAGCATGAAAAAGAATGTTTAAAAAACAGCTTTGCATATACAATACAAAACTCATGGCCTGTGTCAGTTTGAGTCTGAAATTTCAGTAAGTATCTGGGGACTAAGATGTTTATACCAAAAGGTGTTTCACATATTTTCACTAAATATTCATGTACTAATTTCCTGATACCCACTTAAATTTTGTTACTTTTATCAAGTTCTTAGATCAGCAAAGAATATTGACCATTGTCTACTGTTAATGTAAATTCTTTAAAGAAGACATGTTTTTATCTGTTTTACTTAGTATCTTGTAAAAATTTAAGTTAATAGTTTAATTTGATTCATAAATCAAACTTTTTGCCTAAACAGAAAATTAATTAGATCTTGCTCTCACTTCTTGAAGATTAGCAGATTGAAAACCTCTGAGTCCACTAAAACATGTTGATCTCCACTCTACCTGTTCCAAGGCTAAGTGCTCAAGGGTGTTATGAGGTATATTGACAGCTGACAAGTTGCTTTTCAGCTTGTCTTTGTATCTAAGCCATGGGCATCCTACATTCCTGTAGCCCTGATCTAACTGGCTATACATTAGGATCTTGGGTATTCTGTCAAAACCATGGAATTGCTTTGGAGTAGGACAAGGTTGGTGCATTACTTCAGTTTTCTTTATGCTAAGTGTAAGACTAAAGGCTTTACATGCAGCAGAGAAATGATTTAGTAGATGGACTTCCACAAAGGATGTTGCAACAAGAGTAGCATCATCAGCAAACAACAAATTACGGATAATTTGTGTACAAAGGTGTGTCTTGGCTTTGAAGCGCTGATGATTGAAGAGTCCAGTAGTTTTTCAAAACTGAAACTTGACGCTGCTCTCTGTATCTGTTAATGCATATTTCAGCATCACCGAGAAGAAAAGTTCAAAAGGACAGGGGCCATGACACACCCTTGCTTGGTGCCATATGTGACATCAAAGGATTCTGACATCATACCATCAGACATGATATTAGCTTTCATTCCTTCATGAAAGGAGATGATCACCTTTAGCATGTTTTCTGGGATGTCAAGTTTCCTTAAGACTTGTCAAAGAGCCTCTCGATTCACAGTGTCAAAAGCCTTCAGTAAGTACACAAATACCATCTACAACACCTGGTTTTTCTTGTGAACTTTCTCTGTAACTTGACGAAGAGAAAATATCATGTCAATGGTGCCATGACCTGACCGAAAACCACACTGCAATTCAGGATAGATGTCGTCAAGAAGGTGTATAATGATTCTGTTTAGAATCAGTCTAGCTAGGATTTTGCCTGCAATTGAAAGTAGTGATATCCCCCGATGACTATCACAGACACACCTGGAACCCTTGTTTTTGTAGAGATGTTTGATAGAGGTGTCTTTATAATCCTGTGGGACACAGCCTTCCATATCTCCACGAAAAGGAAATGCAACATTCTACCAACTTTTGGCCATCATGCTTATACACTTCAGGTGGAATAGGATCCTTAGGTGATTTTTCAGATGAGATCTGCTTGATTGAGTCACTTATTTCTTGATAGGTTCAAAAAACAACTCTGGAATTTCTGGATTTTGTACAAATGATGTGATGGCTTCCTCATCAGTAACCGAAGTGGTCTTTAACACAGTTTCGAAATGCTCTTTCCAGTGTAAAATGTCTGACTTATCCGTCGAGAAAGTTTCACCATCTGCTGTAAAGATTGGAGCAACACCATTTTTCAGAGGACTGAAAATGCTCTTGAGGCCAGCATAGAAAGCCTTCAGATCCTTTCTATCTGAAGCTTCTTGGAGTTCAGTGGCCTTTTCAAACCACCAATGCTCTTTCATGGCTCTGAGAGCTTGATGAACCTGACTTTTGCCTTTCTTGCAAGCGATCTTCTTATCGGACGGATTCTTGTCCTCAATCCATGCTTTATGAGAAGAGTGCAATTGATCTATAAGCTGCTGAACTTTTGTATTATTGTCATCAAACCAGTCTTGATGTTCTTGATGTGGTAATCCAAGAACCTGTAAGGATATAGAATGTGTTGCATCCCACAGAGCCTTTCAAGATAATTTAATGTCATTGGTAAATGGAATTGCCAGCCAGACATGTTTCACTAATGGCCACTATGTCGATGTTATACTTGTTCAACTTGAGGGACACAAGAGCTGTTTTAACACTCTGGTGCAGAATCATTGTCCTGGAAAGTGCGAAAATTCCAGGATTCAAAATGAAAATTCATCTTATATTTCTTTTGATCTTTCTTGCTATTTTGATTGCGTTACTGAATAACCAGACAGCTGTGGCAGGCTCTGTGTGAGCAAGCAATGTTTAGGGCTCCTTTTATCACCCCCTCCCCATAATAAAGAAAGCACTACAGATCCCAAATAAGGCTGCTTTGTCAATGATGGACACAGACAACACAATTGCTCATGGGTTTGTGAAAGAGCACCCATCACCCATCAGTCTACAACTGTGTAGAGCTCCAGCTAAAGCCTTCCAGTAATATCATTTACCTGACCCTGTCACCTTCACTCTCTCGCCAGTGGACCTTGCAAGTGAACTGTGTGGATAAGAACAAACGAATCAGGGTAAACTGCCAGAAAACCCACACAAGTAATTTGATTAAAGTGGTGAGGGCTTGTGCAGAAACATCCACACTTTTCAGAACTATTGATACACTAGGTCGGTGCAAATAAATACCACAGACGAAGCAGACAACAGACCTCAGGCTTTTTGTGTAAGAGTTTTCCATCTCCTAAACAAGCCATGTTCTATAACACTAAAGAGCCTGGTCAGCCCTGGTAAGCACTATATGCCCATAGCTCGGACCCTAACAGGTGCTACCACCCTGGGTCAGGGCGAACCTGGGAACAACATTAATTAAAAGGTGGTTCCACGCTCCTCAAATCTTCCAATCTCCCAATCAGAAGACTTGCTGTCAGGTGTAGTTTATTGTCATATACAGTAGCATCCAAAACTAAGGGACAAAATTTTAAAACCTAATATTTGTTAGAAATAACAACTGTGAAAAGCTGAAATTTTGACAACTGGTAGTCGTTATCATCCATAATAACATACTAAAATTTGAATCATTTGCAAAGGATAGAAAAAGAATTATAACAATTATTTATTTATTTTCAAAATAGGATCGTCCAAAAGTAAGGGACAAAATTGAGAAAAACAATGTAAACAGTATGCTATATTCAAATTTTTTGATTTCCTCTAAAGAATAAGTCTTACTTAGTCATTTGTAAACGTTGCATCAGACTACACCATGGCGAAACGCCAAAAACTTGATTACTCTGTGATACAAGCTTCTTGAAGCTACACAAGGAAAAGCACACCATTAGAGAGATTTCAGAGAAAGTGAAACATTCCAAGAGTGTTGTAGGCAGGGTTGTTAAATCCTACAATGATACTGGCAAAATAGTTAGTGCTTTTAAAACCGCAGACCCATAAAACTTGCTCGAGAAGATCGAATAATGCAGCGTGTCATTAAAGGACCGTTTTTAAGTCTTGCACAGAAATTAAAAGGGTTATGAATAGTACCTCATGTGTTAATGTGTCAAGACAGTCTGTTTGTAGACGACTGCAAGAAATAGGGCTGTTTAATCGAACCCCAGGGAAAAAACCACTTGTTAGTTCAAGAATAAGAAGAGATTAGAGTTTGCAAACAAACTATGTAATTTGGACATATGAAAATTTTTGCAAAAGTATTTTTCAGTGATGAAAGCAAGTTTAATTTATTTTTTCCATGATGGAAAAACAATGTAAAAAGAAAGGTATTGGTGAAAAATTAAGTGCAAAAGTGTACTAAGAAAACTGTCAAGTTTGGGGCGGAATCGTCATGGTATTTGGAATGTTTTTTTTAGCCAAGGTTCAATGCCTCTTGTCCAGTTACAAACTCTGTTTCTTGCAGTCGATCTATAAAAACATTGTTCAAGATCATGTTGTGCCAATCATACAGAATTCAGGTTTCTTTAGGGCTTTCTTTATGCAAGAAAATGCCCCCTTGTCACAAGGCAAAGGTGGTAATGAGTTACCTTAGCGAGCAAGATTTGGAAATTATGGATTGGCCACCGCAAAAGTCCTGACTTAAATCCAATAGAAAATCTTTGGAAGACCTTAGGAGTGAAAGTTATGGAAAGAAATCCCACTAACACGGAGGATTTGTGGGTGAAGCTTCAAGAAGAATGGTCTAAAATTAGTATCGAGGATTGTCAAGAACTGATTCGTTCTTGTAGTCGAAGATGTGCAAATGTCATTGAGAGCAAGGGCTCATTTACTAAATATTGATTGTACATTTATTTTTTATTGTTTTTTTTTGCCGTTTACATTGTTTTTCTCAATTTTGTCCCTTACTTTTGGACGTTCCAAATTTGAAAATAAATAAATAATTGTTATAATTCTTTTTCTATCCTTTGCAAATGATTCAAATTTTAGTATGTTATTATGGATGATAACGACTACCAGTTGTCAAAATTTCAGCTTTTCACAGTTGTTATTTCTAACAAATATTAGGTTTTAAAATTTTGTCCCTTAGTTTTGGACGCTACTGTATATGAAACACACACAAAGTATATATTCGGTTTTGATTTATTGTTTAATGATATCTCCATGTTAAATGAGGTGACTTGACACCTATATGGACAATTATTTTTGATGATCTTAAATTTACTTAGGAAGCAGAATTATCATAGCTTTATAAAAAAAATCCCCATCTTGTTGAAAATATTGTTTTAAGTATTATTACTTATTTTTATGCTTTTATCTCTTCTACACAATACATAAGCTTAGAGAAATAAATCTCGACCTTTAGATACCATAATATTGTTTCTATTCTTGTCTTGTGTTACAAGTTTTACATACACAATAATTACTCTACCATAATTCAGATGTTGATCTGTTGTACTTGAAAAAAATATAGTGGTGTTGAAAATTTCTCAGCCTTTAACCTTCCAATCACCACCACCAGGTGTCTGGCCACTTGAGACTCCAGAGTTTTGGAGAGGGACTATCTGTCCACTCACCTGATAATATTACACACACACACACACACACACACACACACACACACACACACATATATGCACATGAAGTCATGCTGAAATGTTCTCAGTCCAGCCCATTTCCTAAAATCTGACCAAAGAATCAAATTTTTGGTAAGGAAGGGCTTCTTGATCCGGTTTGATACTTTTCAGCACCATCTCTTTGTGTGTGTGTGTGTCCTAAGTAGAAGATTAAACTGCATATGACCCAGAAGGGTAGTATCTATTAGGATTTCATCTAAAGATCAAACAGATCTATAGTAAATGAAGTCAATGACCAGCTTATCTCACTGGGAAATGTGGACAATGAGTTTTTGAATCCTTCATGTAGGAAAAGGCACTGATATAAAACTTGTGTAATTGGTACCATGCAAGATGTTTCCTTACTTTAAAATGCTTCAAGTTCAGGCATTGTCTTCTAATAGGATCTGGATATTTAAAGTGCAATGGATATGGGGAAAAAGGCACTTAAATGAAAATGTGGCAAAGTGTATGGATTGCTGGCTGGGTTTAAACACCACATTCATGTTCTGCACTGGTGAAACTGTGATGATATGAAGCAATGGCTATTCCTTGAAAGAAATTAGCAGCCATAATGTATTAAATTTTATTATATATATATATATGTGTGTGTGTGTGTGTGTTTCAAACATGCTTTGTTGAATGTGACTGACAAGTCACAAAATTTGATGAGTCATATTCAATATAACATGTTTGAAAGAAAGGTTGCTGCCCACATATACATGTATATCTTTGTAGCCAAGTGCATTCTGACCATAAGACCCATGTTCAAATTGCATCTAGCTGATTTGTCAGGATGATAACTTTTTGATAATATCAATCTGGGAGCTATCCCAGTGTGTGTCACCATTAGGAAGTAACTGAAAATCTTGTTTGACCCAAGCCATGTGATGGAAATTGGATTGATGAAAATGGGTTGATGGTTGTGCTAGTGTAAAACCACATGTCATTGTGATTGAGAGTTTGAGGTTACTGAACTTGTTCAAATACACATCATGCTAGGTTGTGCATTCTCACCCAGAAATGATAACTAATGTCTGCTCAGCATAAAGTATAAACCACAAATTGGCTTTGTGAGTGTTAAAGAAACAAAATGTGCCTGAGCAGGTGTTAGGCAACAAGGATTAGCTAGCCACCTACACAGATGGGTAAATTTGTAAATGAGTAACCAGCTATCGCTCACTCTCTCTCTCTCTCACACACACACACATACACACACATTATGGGCAGTAACCTTTCTTTTATACATGTTGAATATATCAGACAAGGAAATTTTTCTCTTGTTCTTATAGTTTTCCTTTTGGGGCCTGCTTAAAGTGTGTAGAAACTGTCCATAATGATTATTGTCCCAAGCTCTTCACCAATTCATTAGCCATTTTCAAGATGCTCCTTGTTAATGTTTTCTAAGTTTCTGTTCTAAGTTGTATTATGTGGAAGCAAAATAGAAAATCTAAGCTGTGCTAGAAGATATGTAGTTTTAATTTCATGTTGGGGTGTCTTTTAAAAGACAGTCAACATCTTATTCTCATTGTCAAATAAGGTAAGGTTGAGGCTTGGCTTAAATTTTTTTTATATATAAAATGCCCCAATTATCTTAAGACATCTTCTACAATTAGATTTTTTTAGAATGATGGCATTATAACAATATTTTGTATATTATATATGAACACAACATGATGACTTTTCTGTTGAATATTTATTGTGTTTCTGTCTGTGTACTTTGAATAATGTATAATTATTTATTTCATTTTCAAATAAAAATAAGACTTTTTTTTTAGCAATTTTTAAATTATTTGCATTTTGAATAGAGCTAACTCTGAAATTGGCAAATGTCCAGATGGAAAATATCCTTACAAGAATGTAACAGTTCACTTAGGTAACAAATCCAAATTCTTTCTAAGCAAACAACTTACAAAGTTTGCTCTACTTTTATTTTTTCTCTCTTGTTTACAGATAGCCTTCAGGTTTCCTGTGTTTATTTTGATTAACTTTCTTATCACAGTTGAGACTTTCTTGTTTACCACCTCTTTTTCCTTTTATGAGTAAAATGGGGGGTTTGGCTTTGAGAAATGCATTTTTGTCAAGACCATTCATATAAATATGAGTGACCTTGATTGTTATTTAAATACCTAAATAAATAAATAAAACTATTACCACCATTATAATGAACCTAAAAATTGTACAACGGCTGAAACGTGATAAATATGGCAATAAAGATGAGGATGATAATCCAAGCAATGTAAATAGTGTTTGCCAAGGTATTCTACATATTTGTCTAACTGAGAGACATAGAATAAAAATAACTTAAAGACATTGCTCTTCATTAAATATACATAATCTCTATAATTACATTATTTTTCTAATCTTTTTTGAAATCAGCAAGAAACTTCAATAATACTGAACTGTTCACAAAATAAAATATACCTACAACCATGAACAACAATATCCAAATAGCCAGAGGCTAACACAAGCCAAAAATAAATAAATATCGCCTATATCCTGAAAGGACACATAGAAAAAAATTGCAGTACTGAATTTTTTTTTTTTTTTTTGCTCTTCTAAACCTCAAATTGTTATAGACATGAACTGAGTGACTTACTTATGACAATTGAATAATGAGACTTCTGGATAGGGTGGGTGCATACATAAGGTAAAACTGGAGTATTAGTTTACTTCAGGAATAGGACGAGATTATGCTCATGTAAATTGCAATATAAATTAGTCTTAATAATATAAATCAAATTTTAATATTAAATTTTTTTATTTAAAAATTTAATCAAAAATTCTTTTTTTTTCCCTCTTTCTCCTCTTCCTCTCCTATTTTTACTCTCTTCTCTTCCTCCTCTCTAATCTACCCTTCTTCCTTTCTCTCAGCACTTTTTATTTTCTTTCCCTTTCTGAATTCTCTCTCTTTCTCTCTCTTGTTTTCCTATCTAATTTTATGTTTTCTGCAATTACCACACCTGACACATTTTCTCTTTGGAATTCTTATTCTAGTTTAAACAATAAAACTGACTATTATCTTCCATTCATGATTTTCAAAATAGGTTACCCAGCCTATCCCCTAGCTGAAAAGTGAGCCTATATAACATTTCCACATGTTATCTAACTTGACCCTACCCTGTACTCTCTTGTCCATACGTTTCAGCTGCAGCATGCATTTTCCTTCTCTACTCTGTATTGCTTTAAGCTGAACCATAAAGAACAGATCATTGAAGAGGGACAGGCACTCTCGCTCAGCTGGTAAACCTGCTGTTTCTATATCTGGGTGTGGCATTGTATACATTTGCCTTAATGGCCAAGCACCATAATATTAGAATTTTGAAATTGAATCTGAGTGTTTACAAGTTTTGGTTTTGCTTATGAGTTGAGAGAAGAAGTTTTTACTAAATACCTGATTGATTTGTTTTCTACAGCTTATCAACCCTTTGCAAGTTATTTAAAGCCTGAAAATATTTTTAGACTGTAAGAATTTTTTTTTAATAATGGTTTAGTGATACAAGTCTTACAAATTAACTCCTAGCTTGTGGGAGAAGAGGTGGATTCATACCTTTTCCCAAGGGTATTTCCACATAAGTGAATATAACAAACCCAACTGGAATTGGAATTCAGCTCTCCAATTAACAATTCTGAGCCATTATCATTTACATCACCCACACATGCTAGCTTACAACCCCTGGTCTTCCCAAGTGGTCACTCATCTAAGTACTGACTAGGCTTGAAATTGTTTAACTTTGGTGATTTTATGGGAATTGGTATTTCAAGGTGATGTGGCTGTAAGCCACTAAAATGTTTGAGTGAAGGAATATCAAAATGGCCAGAGATTTTGATTTCACTTTTTGTTTTTAATAAGTACAGTATGATATTCTTTTAACTTAGTCTGGTACAAGGCACATTTGTAGATCCCAAAGTGTGGATCAAATTCATTACAAAAAAATGATTAATTCCGAGGTGTAACTAGTTTGCTAATTCAATTTTCCATGCCAATAGCTGTTGAATTATCAAAGTAAATTCTTATTCAAGCAGTTTGTGTTCACACTGTAAAGTCTGCTTTTTTCAAAGGCATGAATTCATGTCTTCCACTCTGTAAAAAGGTTGGGTGTGTATTTGCTATTTCTCAATTCTCGGCTATGGATAAATAGTAGGGCAGATGATACTCTTCTGCCTTGTAAGGTAGTTCATTCATAAACAGATGTAGTTCCTCAAGGTCTTAACCTTGACGTCACTGCACCATATGTAAGAAGATGTGTGGTTGTGTGTGGGATGATTTTTTACATTGGTGTGGGAGTTACTTCTCTGCCTTTTGACATTCTCAGTCACTCCCTCACTGCCAATGTAAAATTATAATGTCTAGTTGTTATAAACACACATATGGTAGCACAAGAGAACAAATAAAATAAGTACTGAGGGTGAGGAAAAAGGAAAAGAAGACAAGAATTGTTAATATAAAATTGTTTGTATTGTAGACAGAGAGGATGTGAACAGAATGTTTCTTTGTGGGCAAAGGAAGCAACTTGGAGGAAGAGTAGAGTTGGTAGGACCTGGAGTTGATGCATGTGTTGGGTTGGTTGACTTAGGTCACAGTGGTGATATTGGGAGAGACTGATTGTAAATTAGTTGAAGCTTGCCCATTCACCATGAATTTGTCAGTTATTTATGAGTAGCATTCTTAAAAGGAAATGTGGTAGCTCTTAAACTCATCTTTTTTTCATGTTTTTTCTTTGTTGACAATGTTCAATTGGATTCTTCTATATTGTTATTTTATATTTTTTTGAGAAAATTTGTTTTGTGGGCTAGATGTGATGCTCAGAGGATGTCTTTTTTATTATATAGATATGTTTTTCTTTTACATTATTCAATGTAAAAGACAAGATCCGAATTTTTCTTTTTTAGTAAATAATTATTTAATCAACATTTTAAAGACTGAACTATCAGATAAATATTCACTTGAAAATAAGATCAATTAAAAAATGCTATGATCAATAAAGTAATGATTATTGGCATAGATTAAATAGCAGGGTAGACTGATCAGTCTACCCTGCTACTAGTTGCAACTGCTTTGAATATACGCTCTTTTAGCGCTAGAGGAATTGCAAACCATGGAAAATGTACTTGCTCAATATTGACCGACAGATTTTAGAATCTGGTGACTTCTCCTCAATGTTTTTACTCACAACCTTTACTCTGCTGTGCTTCAGCCATAATATCAAGGTTCAATTTGATCTTTGTCTATTGCATTTGTCCTTGTGATTTGTACAGGCTCCTTGTGCTGTTGCAGTGATTTTTTTTTTTTTTTTTTTTTTTTTTAATAGAGCCAGGGTGTGCTAGCTCAGCACCCAAGATAGACTGCCTTACAGGGCTAACAGACTTCAACTGCCTTACTATTTACTCATAATTATGGGAAGGAAAAGTGGATGCTTGCCTTTCCTAACAACATTTATGCAAAGTGAAAACAAAATGTTCCAACCAGAGTTTGAACTTTGTTTACTGATTCTATTTTCCATGTTGTTAACCACTTGTGCCTTTCTTCTTATCTTTAGGTAAATATTAACCTGTATCCTTGAACTTTTTAAGCTATTCCCCTAACAGTTTATTTAGATTAATTTTGATTTTTGCTTGAAATAAGAGATGAGGAAATTCTTCCAAATAACTTATGGAATATTAATAACTTGTTGTTTTTAGGATTTATTCATAATGACTTTCATATATGTATATAAATTTTCATATATTTAGCATCTGATCATAAATAGGGATTATTATAGGAATTTTAAAATGTTGATCATTTAAATCTTTTCTTTACAAAAATTTTGTAAAATATTCAGAAATGTGCATAAAATGTACATGAATCATATTTTGTTCTCTCTGTCATATTTTTCCCTTCTGCCAAAATTTGTCAATTTCAAGGAGGCAATGAATGAATGAAAATCACCAGAGTAAAATTAGTGCTTAAAAGTAGAATTTTCAAAACTTGACTTTTGAATTTTCATAAATCAGAAAGAAAGGGATTGTTGATTGCTAATGTATTAAGGTAAGCCTTACTGATGGAATAAGGCTATTATATGTTTGAGGAGGTACTAATAGTTCTCAGCCTGACCATGATGTGGGGAGGAGGGTCAGGCTGAAAACTTTTCAGTGTCCTCTTTTATAATAGCTCATCTCAGAATTTTAGACAGTGCCAACAATATTTTCTTTCATTTTCTCTCCAGGCTGGTGCCATTCCAAGGTTGTTACGGCTATCGCAGTCTGAAAACCAAACTGTCCGAGCTCAGGCCTTTGAAGCTCTTTCCCTCGTTGGCTATGTGGCCCCACCCAAGGGCCGGGGTATTCGGGTTTTGTGTGTTGATGGTGGTGGGACAAGGTGAGTGAATCTAGTGAACAAAAGAAAAAAAAAATGACATCTAAATATAACACCTAATCTTTTTCAATAGTTCCCAATACAGTATTCATGTTGTAGAGCATTGCTTAACTGTCTTGCCTGAAATTTTGATACGATGCATTATCTGAGTAATATCTTGATATTGTTTTATCATTTCACCCCAAGCAAGAGGCAAGGGGTTACCAAGAGTGTAAGAAATTGAGATAAATTTATTGAGTAGAAAGATCAATAAAAGAACAGAATTCAAGGTGAGAGAAGGTGATAATTGACACTGCACTTGAATTTTTGAAGATTGTAGTTGACAAGAAAGCAAGAACCTGGAAAAGTTTCACAAGCAAGAATTGCAAGAGAAGAAACTATTAGAATAGAACTTTGTTACATTTAGCAATTTTAACAGTAAAATGAGACCTTATCTCCTTACTGTGCTTACTACAATATTTTTAGTAATCTGTTTAAAAGCCTTTCTTAGATATCAGTTACAACTGTAAATCAGTGAATGATATTTTTTTTATATATATAATGATGATAATACAAGTGAAAAAATATGTGAAAAATTACGAGAATTTAACGTTTTTTTCAGGCTAGCAGAACCTCTGCTAAAAAAACATTCAATAGATAACTAGAACTAAATATTCTGGGCCTAATTAGCATTTTAAGATATATGAATAATATCAATTGATATTTAGTAGGGATAATTCCAAGGAGGACATTAATCCAAAGAGCTCAATGTAGGAATAAAGCAATATAATAATGAGTACAGAATCCTAAAAATCCATTTGGTTATAATTTATTTCATGAATTTACATCCATCTCTTCAGACTGGTGTTGTCTTAATAAATGGAGTCAATTTATCTAGATGAAAAGAAAAGGGAGAGGAAAAAAGCAAAAAAGGAAAAAGTTTTAATATTAAAAGAGGAAGAAAGAAGAATAAAAATTTCAATATAAGGTTTTAAAAAATTTCTTGGGGGGGAAAAGAGAGAGAGAGATGGGGAGGGGAGAGGGAAGAAGAGAGGTGAGAGAGGGAAGGAAAGAAGGAAAAATTAAACATGAGTTGATAGCATGACTTAAAAATTATTTTTTCTTTCAGGATTGGACAAGTTAAAAAACAGGACAAGGGATCGGGGTGATCAGATTCACAGTAGATACATTGAATTGTATTGTTGAATATATATTATATATATATATATATATATATATCGGAAAGGGATATATTTGCTCGAAGTAGCTAAGTGGCTTAGGCTACTGTAACCGAGTAGAACTCTTTCTGAATCCTTTACACTCCCCTCAGATTGACACTCGAACACTCTGAAATGTTTCTATTGAAGTACCCAGTGCAAATACCAAACAGTACAGCATGCCATTTCCAAATTTCTGGCAGAATTGTGTCATGATGCTCATTTTCTCACAGATGGTGCCAACTGACCAAACTATACTGTACAGTCAACAAAATAAAAAACAAACAATGCAAATCATATAAGAGCACGGCTAAAATCCATTTGTAAAGCTGAGTGGCATAGGAGGCGAAGGAAGGAAAAAGCGAGAAAGAGATTATCATTCATTGCAGATCAATTGGCTTTACTAAGAAATTGCTTGGAGATAAATGGAGTAGTCAGCTAGAATGCTCTGCAGATGATATTAACAGCTATCTTCAGAACACATTGAATGACCCTGTAAGAAACAAGGATCTCAGCCATACAGAAACTGTTATTAATCCAACTCAGCCAACAACTGATTTTGAATTGAATGAGCCAAGCTGGAAGGAGATTAGGGAGGTAGTGAATCTAAGGGCAAACAGAGATGGCAACTAATTCAAGAGGAAGTACAAGCCAATGTTGAGCAAAAAAGAATATGCAAGATGGTGGGACTAAGCCAGCAAGGTGTATAGACATGACGGGAAAATTTTTTACAGTGGAAAATAAGTTGGTTGGAGATCTAGCACTCTGACGCCAGTCGGATTAAATTTCTTGTACAATCCATGTGTGATGTCCTGCAAACTTGTATACTTGGGGGATGAGGGCACTTTGTGAAGGGAATTACTGGTGCAGACATGATCAGCTACTTCAGAAATTAGCTAAAGTAGTGGCCGCAGCAGTTGCATTTACAAACGTTAAATGAAGGCGATGTATTTTGTCAAGGCTGGCAAAAACTCCACCTCAGTGCATAAATCTTTAACCTGCATGCTCTCCTCTGCATAAGATTGGGAGCCAGTTGAAATTCCCAGAGCAGATAACGACATCTTCCCTGTGTCCAGATTTATTAGTCTGGTCAATTGTTTGCAGGCAGGTTATAATGCTTGAACTTACATTAGCCTGGGAGGAGAATTTGGAAGAGGCCTTTGAAAGAACGCGGGAAAGATACCAGAAGCTGGTTGAGAAATGCAGATCTAACAAATGGCAGACTACCTGTGTCCTGATTGAAGTCTGATACTGTGGTTTTGCAGGATGAACTGTATGCAGAACTCTTGGCTTGGAGTCAGTGGAGTAAAAAAAGAAAAAGGCCATCAGGACTATTTCAGAAGCTGCAGAAAAAAGCTCAAAATGGCTATGGATTAAAAAATCAGATCCATGGAGCTCTACAACGGAGATCAGCGGGCATTGAGGTGCTGTTGGAAGGGATGAAAAAGAAGAGGAGGAAAGGGAAAGGGAAGAAAAAAGAACAAGGGAAGATGGAAATATATGGAGGGATGACCAAGATCACTGTTTGTGGGGAAGTTTTTTTCTTTTTTTTTTTTCTTCTTTATTTTTAACCTGTTCCACAACAATGTCTTGGTGTTTCTGGTATGTTATGTTGTTTTTTCTTTTTTTTCTTTTCCTGTTCAGGAAGGAGAGAGTGGGGAGGGAAAGAGGGGGGAAAAAGAAAGGGAGAAAAATAAAGTAGGGAGAAAAAAGAAAAGCAAGAGACGTTTCTGATCATAATTCCTATGACCAACAAATGTATGAATTTTTTTTTTTTTTTTTAGTGAGGTATCATTTCATAGGGAATAAAAAATTTCCTGCCAACAAGTAGAAATTACTTATCTGTTATGTCAAGCAATGTTTGTTGAAAGTGTGTGTCTTTCTGCATGTTGGAGCCAAGAGGGAAAAGACAAGCATTCAGTTTGTTCTCTTTTTGTCTCATCTTGGCTAAGGAGGAAGTGACATAAGTCATTTCCGATTGGTCGCTTGCTATTTCAAGATCAGCAGTGGCAGTTATTTATATGTCCGTTGTTGTGTGCTTGGTGGATTTTTTTTGCTTTGGGATTGCCTGCTGGAATAGGTATTGGGGTCTCTGGGTGAACAGGTAAGTTGAAAAACTCAAAACTTGTCATGACCCCATGTCATAACATCACTGATGAGGTAATCCTGTGTGCCCTTTTGGAGTCTATTCATAACATATATATATATATATATATATATATATATATATATATATATATATATATAATGAATCATTCATACAAAAGTAAATTAGTAAAGTTAATGATATAAAATGGCAAATCCTTTGTTAAAATTTTAAAGGTGCATTAACAATCTTGAATGTTATGATCGAGTGATAGGTAGGTTAATGCACCTTTAAAATTTTGTTAGCGAAGGGATTTCACCATTTTATATCATTAATTTTACTAATAATTTTTTTTTTATATGAATGATTCATTGTAATATAAATTGAACTGCAACACATATTTAATATATATATATATATTAAAATTATTTTTTTAAAAATATGATTCCTTTGCTGCATAAGAGTTCTCATGTTTCAAAAATGAGAGCTGAAACCATCAATATAATTATTAAAATTAAAGTGAATTAAAGTAACAAGCCCCTGCTTCATCCTCAAGCGAAAATTTAATTTTAATAATTATATTGATGGTTTCAGCTCTTGTTTTTGAAACATGAGAACTTTATGCAGCAAAGGAATCATATATTTAAAAAATAATTTTAATCTAAGCTCTTTTGTATGGAGCACTGTTTTTAAAAAAAAAAAAAAATACTAAAGAACCCTGGATTATTTACCTAACGTGTTCTTTCCTATTTTTCTACATACCTGCACACACACACACACACACACACACACACATATATATTACAAACTTTAATACACCAACATTTGCATTTTTATTGATTGCCTCCTCTTTAATGGGATGGATATGGTTATGATATGCGTAGAAGAGAACTGATGTTTAGTTTTAAATTAATGAATCTTAATCTCAATTCACCACACACTTCTATGTTCCAGTTTATTTACTTTATTAGAACTGAATTTTAAACCAAAAAACCAACTTCGACCATTTAAAAAGTTGGAAATGCAACTAAAATGATGTTCGTTTCTGCACAAAGTTTGGCATAATTGTTGATAATATTTACAGTACTCCAGAAGTCACTGAGAGTCATATGCTTGAACAGTGATTTAACTTAAAGTTCTACAGACATTTCATCAGGTTCATCGTAAAGTTTAGGTTTATTTTCCATTTCTGAATTAAATGATGTCACAATCCAGTCAGGTAGGGTCTTTCTGTCTAGTCAACATTAGGAACATTATTAAATTGGGTTTTTGTTTTCCAGTTGCCATAAATTAGTGCTTAGAATTTATTTCTAGCAATCATGATTTCAAAAGATCTATTTTGTCTTTGAAGTTTAACAAGAGTGTTTGGGCTCCAATAATTGTTATATCTTTAATCTCTGCTTTGTTAAATATAGAATAGAGGCCTGCCAAATAGTGCTTTGTCACAGTATACTTTTCCAGATGGTGTTATCTGTACAATACATAGTGGTTCATGCCCACATTGGGAACATTTTTCTCAAGGAAGGTAACAGCCAATAATTCATGGTTTGTCATGTTGGCCAACATAGTTCTACTGTTAAGCAGAATATTGTTCTTGGAGTGAAAGATACTATGTTGATGTCTGGTGAAGTATACATCACCTAATGGACAGATAGAAGCTGGTTGCAATTTTATATAATAGAAATATCTACATCTCAAATAAAAGAATCTGAAACGGAGATACTCCTAAGTCAGTCTCATTTATTTTATTCTGAAAATGAATCAAGTACTAATGAAGTTGGATTTTTGTTAAATAAATCTCTTGCACATTCTGTTTGAAGCTATGAAGACATATCACATTATCTTATCTACTCTACCCCTGCAGTAAAATCGCATAATATCCAAGTATATTTACCTACAACAATCCAACCTACAGAAGAGATACAAAATCTTTGCTATAAAATATGACATCTCAGTTAAAATTGAATTTTTTTTTTCAGTTGAATTTTTTTTTATATTATAGAAGACTTTAAGGCTGGAGTAGAGGGACTTTGTAAGAACCATCCTAGTTGTGCAGCAAAGTGAAAATCTTATTTTTGTCTTTCAAACAATCTTTATATTATAAAAATCTTCTTTCAAAAATGTAAACTTGACACCTGGAAATATTCAAATGGCAGAAAACTTGCTCAAATTGATTTTATAAAAAAGACACAATCATAAACAAAATATATTAGTGATATTTTGAATTCCCTAATAACTCTGACCATAAAATGGCTAGGTGTAAAATAAAGCTAGATTTTATTTGGCATAAGCCAAAAAAAAATTCAAAGAAATATAACTTAAAAGAAAATAATATATCAAATCAATATGAATTCCTCCTCCTCCTCCTCTCATACTGATAATGCTGAAGAGTCAGCTGAAACTATTAACTATTCTGGCTGCAGCAGATAACATTTTGCCTCCAGTTATAAATCCTTAGACAACTTTTCTTTGAAGGTGGTTTTTCATCTTTGCAGATTTCATTACTTAATACCTTTTCACATATGAGGTACATAGGCTTTGTTTCTAGGCAAAGGTATAAATACAAGTTTCCATTTGAATAAATTTTGTTGACATTTTTGGATCTGTGGCTGCCATAATGGCTGATGGGTTTGTAGCTAGATTTAAATATATGAATTGAGTCAACAAGCCATAATAAGCACAAATCTGTTTTTTTTTTAAATTTCAAAATATATGCAAAAGTATAAAAATATATACTGTAGAACAATCAACCTGTTTTCTTTTACTTTAGAAGAAGCTAGGAACACTCTAATGTAGAATTTTTCTTTCTTTTTTAAGTGAAAGGAAACAAGACAAACATTATCTTCCAAATTTTCTAAGAAACCAAATGTTAACTGTTTCAATTTCACTGACATCTATTGGAAATCTACCAAAGTGTGGAATAATAGGATGTTGATATGGTTCTGTTTCAACAATGCTAATTGACATCCAAGTCATTTTCAATCCCCCAAAATGTCTTATTGACATCTAAGGAATTTCTGATCTAAAATAAGAGAGAAAGGTTAACTTAGAGAGAATATGGTTACTTCCCAGATGGAACACAGAGAAAATAATCTTAAATTTTGTTACACTCTTTTGGAGCAGATCTCGGGTTTGATTTTGAAACATTTTTGCATTATTAATTATTCAGTCAGTAAAAGACTTGCACAGATGCTTAGTTTTAACCACTTCTTATTAACATCAGATATATGGGGAGAGGGAGTGGGTACTGAAAACTTATCAACTCAACCCACTTACCAAATGATCAATCAAAACTTTTTTTTGGTTTACTTGAGAAGGAATTCTTAATCAAGCTGAAAACTTTTCAGTGCCCCTAATAAAAAGAGGCTTAATAGCCATTATTAATTTTCTTTTAGTTTTGCTGAATACTAGTTTTCAATCTAGCTTCAATGGTGTCCTTATCCCTGCACTTTTCCTAGTGTGAGTTGTTTATTAAGAATTGAAATCAAAATAACTGGGAACTAAAAGTTTTACTTGAATTTCCTGTCAGGAATCTTTTCAGTTCTTGTCACAGATGCCAAAAATGGAAGGATCCAGGAAGTATTATTTCTAAGTCAATCATTTTTAACAGAAAAATGAAAGCCCTTTGTTATTGAAAAAAAAGAGATCACTGATAGCTCTTAGTAATGGGAATAGTTTTTACATGGAAGTTAGTAATTGAACTCATACTGTGCAAAAGTTTTGATGATAATAATAATAGTTTCATAGTTAAAGACAAAAAAATACTTTTTTGTTAGGTAAATAATTTATCAACTAATGTTGTTTGTTTTTAGAGGATTGGTTGCCCTGGAGACTCTGAGGAAATTACAGGAAGCATGCAAAATGGATCTATGGAAAGTGTTTGATTATGTGTGTGGAGTGAGTACTGGGGCTCTTATGTTAGGTCTTGTCATCCTCTATCGAATGCCCCCAGACAAGTGCTGTGAATTGTATAAAGACCTTAGCCAAGACATGTTCACACGTAATCGATTTGTTGGAACAGGACACCTGGTGTGGAGCCATGCATTTTATGACACTAAAATCTGGGAGGATATTCTCAGGTAAATTAAAATGAACCAACTTTGCTTTATATTTTATTTTTATTTTTAAGTTAAAAGTTAATATTTGTTTTATTGTGTTGATGTATGTGTGTTATGTACTCAGACTGTTCATGAGTATAAAAACTTTCAAGCATATTTACTTATTTTGTAATATTTTTGTTAAAGAATGTTAAATTTAATTATATTTTTAAGTACATCACTTTTGAAGATGAAATTTCTAAAAAAAAGTGGAAATGGGGAGATATTTTACACTTTTTCTTTAAAAAAAAAAATAAATAAATAAAATAAAATTTCTCATTTCTTTTCCACCCTGGCAGGAATTATGCTGGAGATAGTATCATGTCCAAATTTTCCCAGGATCCAACTTGTCCAAAGGTGAATGTTTGTTTTTTTTGTTTTGTTTTTTTTTGCAATGCCTTGTTTCTCTTTTATTTTGGGGGTCATTGAAATATTGGTGGGCAGAGGGGGGGAAAAAGAACAACAACCCAACAACATTATTTTAAAAAGTGACTAAATTGGCCATCAACATGCACACATCACACATTTGAATAGTATAATTTTCATTCATTTTGCTTTTGTTGTCTAATATGAATTTCACAATGTATTGCCTACAGCCCTCAAAATAATCTTATCATATTCAGTTTATATCATAAACTTGATAGTTATATTTTTTGGTTTACCAGGTTATGAAGTTGTGATCCAGTAAGGGAAGGTTCACAAATCCTAAATTGAACTTTGATCTCTTGGAAAATAAAATAAGAAGGAAAATAATTTAAAAAATTTTTCTGATTTACCATCGCTATTTGTTATGGTCCTTGAAATTTTTCATTAGATTTTAAAATTTGATTAAACAAAAAAAAGTATAAATTGTTGGATTTTTCTGGGTGTATTTTTTTAGATAGTCTGCAGAGTCATTTCTCATGTGCTTTTATACTTTGTTACAGATGTCTGCGTTGTCATGCGTCATGAATATGGCCAAGATGAAAAACTTTGTGTTTCGTACCTACAACCTGCCCTCAGGCGTTTATTCCCAGTATCCCGGTAACTGTAAATATAAACTATGGGAAGCCATTCGAGCCTCGTCTGCAGCCCCAGGGTACTACACAGAATTTCAACTTGATGATTTGACACATCAGGTAAAAAAAAAAAAAAAAAATTTCTACATTTCTGATTTAGAATGTTAGAAATCTGTTGCCTTTCATAATTTTTTACAACAGAATCTCACACATGTGACCTGTGAAACTATCTTTCTGTAGCCTGTGGGGAAACATTTTTGTGACCAATATTTTTTTTAATAAGTTCAATAAATTTGTCCCTTGCCACTTTCATACCAGGGTCCATTCTAATTCCTCTCCAGAAAAGGGAAGTAACCTCCTTACTACCACATATTCTTCTTAATGATGAAATGATATGAATGTACTTTGCTATAATGTCTCTTTTCTTTTTTTTGGTTTAATTTTATAAGAAATAAATTTGACAACTCATACTAGCTGAAATAAGTAACAAACTTTTATATACATTTTTAAATTTTTTTTTTTTTCATATAAGGTGAAAAAAGATAAATTTGGTTACTCATATTGGCATGGGACACACAACAGTTAGACACACACAACACAATCATGTAAAGGAGAGAAGTTTTGCTGACTAAAACTGAAATTTCAAGGAAGAAAGACTTGTTTTTGGTTGCCCTGCCCTCACATACCTGTCTTGAGTTCAGAAACGTCTACACAATGAATTATTTTCCCTTCTACAGCTCCTTTCCCACAGACGAAAAGTTGTAAGCTCCTTGATACTCTCTCACTATTTCCATAGCTACATTCCTTAATTGCACATTATTGACGTTTGCAGCTACGATCCACCATGCCATGTAGACTAGGACAAATCCTCCTAATTCCTTTTGTATTCTATTAGTAAGAAAGAAGGTCCACTTGGAAAGATCCATTCCAAGAACTGCTATTTTTTGGAACAGACTCCTGAGAGGATGTTTTCTGATCACTACAATCCTAACTACTTCAAGTCTAGGGTTAACTGTTATTTCTAATACATAGCCTCATAAAGCATTTCTTACATCCTCCTCTTACATGCATGCAACAACATCATTCAATAACTCTCTACTTTGAATGGCTCTTGGTTGGACCTTGTATTAGGTAAACATTAGTAAAAACAAAAGATACGGAATTAAAACAAAGAAAAATGTTGACAATGTCTAATAAAAATTGCCAAGAACTGAACTTTTCAAGGAAAGTAGGAATATTTATGTTCAACAAATTACGCGGCACATATTTCGATTAACCACTTTATATTTAGAACGATTACTTTGCTACTTATGTAAAAGTAAAAACAGTCTTAGTTGGCAATAATATAAGTGACAGATGACTATAAAAAGGTGCCGTTAATTTATTTAAATAATTGTTTACATCACATGACAATAATTGTACAATAAGTAACCAAGTAATAGTTTTAAGTTTTTTGAATATGTGCTATATTTATATTTTGTGATTAGAGTGTCGTCAATTCTCATGCATTTGAGAAATTATGTATAAAATTTGTGTATTTTTAAAGTCATACTTAATAAAGTACACAAATGATTGAAATACAGGCAAAATCTTGCCTGCTTGTAATTCTCAACTTTTTTTTTTTTTCCCACAATTTCTATCACTCAAAATTAACAACTGAGAGTCTGTGGAGCCCTGGAAAGCAGTCCCTAAGGGAGTCTACAGACTGTATGGTTGGGAACCCAACAATGGGGGTCTGTAATCCCTTGCTTCTGGTTCATTGCATCTATCCCTCAGCACATAATGGCCCTTTTTTGTGTCTTTTAATTTGAGACTTATACAGTGGCATGCTGATCTCCAAAGTCATTATCAGATATATATATATATATATATATATATATATATATATATATATATATAATACACACAAAAAAGTATACTGATAGCTTATATTACAGGAGTAGACGCATCAAACTAGCCAAGAGCCAACAATGCTAGATGTTTGCTTTAATTAAACATTAAAAAAGAAAAAGGGAGATAACTTTAGTGGTTTTAGAGTTGGGTGTGAAAAAAAACATTAATCACTTTAGTAAATATATAATTTTGTGTTGTAAGATATTAGGTCTTTGCAAAAATCTCCAGGGCTCTCTTTTCTTTTGAGAACTGAAAGATGAATACACAAAAAAAATAGTTTTCTTTATTTTTTTTTTTAATAAAAAGGGAGTGCTAAAATAAATTATTATCCTTTATAGCAATTATAGTGTTAATTTTAAAGCGTGTTTCACCGAGTAGGACACTGGTAGCATTACCTTCCATTCTTAATAGATCAAACATTGTTAACCATTATTAATTTTCGACTAGTATGTTTTTCATCTTAATTTCGCTTGTTTCATTGCAATTGCTCAAATTGTCATTCGGTAAACTTGCACCATTTTTATCTTGGTAAACTTGTTTTTTGATTTGTAAACATTGGTTCTTTTAACTCAAACAGTAAAACAGACATGTACATAAGATAAAAGGGAAGTGTGTTCACATCTGATTTACTAATAACCTTATTCAATTTCAAATATGAAATTCTTTGAAAGCGAAAAAAGTTTATTTTGATTTCGGATCATAAGTCACAAACCTTTGTTAAAATGGTTGCAAATATTCTATTTTCCAAGCTATGTATTGTATGCTTGAGTCAACAGAAAGCTTGTTTCATTACATAAGAGTTTTAACCTTATTTCTTTCGTGACACTGGATATATTGAATGAAAAAAAAATATTCAATTTTATAGAAAGGTTTTTGCCTAAACATTAAGTTTGTCAAGCAGTTAAGGCTACAAATTGTTGCCTTTTTTTTTTCTTTTCTTCCATTCAATTGTTATGTCTATGGATTAATGTCATTTTAATTTCAATGAGATGAACTGATACAAATTAAAATAAAATTTTTTGATCAGACTTATTTTTAACACTAACATTTGGACTTATCTAAAGTTAACATATTGTTATGTGGATTATTTCCCTTTACAGGATGGCGGTCTTTTATGTAACAACCCTACAGCATTAGCCATCCACGAATGTCGTCTTCTCTGGCCAAATACCCCCTTGCAATGTGTCGTGTCTATAGGAAATGGCAGATATGAACCAAATCTTGAAATGAATACAGGCAAAAGTACACTGAAAGAGAAAGTTGTTAAAATTTTAGACAGTGCAACTGATACTGAGGGTAAATAGCTTTTTCTTGCTTTTATTAACAAAATTCTTTAGTCTGACAAAAAGCTACAGTAGTAAACTATGTTTACCAAATAACTACTAACAATCAAGTGGCCCACATTGTCTGCAATTGGTGTGGTTATCTTTATCCAGGGCCAGAAGATTGTTTTATTAATATCAATATTGTAGGTCAAATAATGAATCATGGCCTACTTGCAGATTGAAGTAGTTGACCATCTCCAGCTTGCATGAGGAGTAACCCAGCATTTCCCTCCACTTCATTTGAAAGATTGGAGTAAATCAATACAGTGGTTAGTAAGAAGATTAAGTGTTTCTTAATAAATATCATGAAGAAAGATGTTTATCCTTTTTACTTTTTCATTCTTTTATTAATATAGACCATTGAAAAATTTGACACCAAATCTGGATTGGTAAACAAATATTCTGCTTAATGTCGGCCATTTTGATTACAAAAATATTCTGTCCAAATTTGCTGTGCATTCACTTTGAACCATAGAACTGCAATGACAAATGTTTTCTGTTATCCACACTAGAATTTTTTTTTTTTTTTTTGTTGAAGATAGAATGTCTAAAATGATAAAAATAAAAATTTAGATCATAAAATTCTTAAAATCATTTTTACCAAATTTCTGAACATAAAATAGATCACTTCTTTTCTTAATTTCTCATTTGTTTTCTTTTTCATGTTGTCCAACCCTTAGCTGTGAACACAATTCTCTCTGATTTGCTACCTCCAACTACCTATTTCCGTTTCAACCCTTATGTGTCTGAAGAGTGGACCTTGGATGAAATCCGATCGGAAAAACTTAAGCAGATGCAACATGACACTCTAATGTATTTGCGACGCAATGATTTCAAAGTGCAGCGATGTGCAGAGAAATTGATGCAGCAACGACACATGCACCAGAAAATGTACGATTGGGTCAAACTGCGACTGGACATGATTGAAAGATAAAAACACTTTGGTCAGAAGTGAGCTGGACATCTCTACTGTTGACCTCACTCATTCATAACTACTCAGCTTTTGCTCATTACAAACACATTGCTGTCTCTATAAATCAACCCATCTAGGTTTTTTATTGCTTGTTATTTATTCTGAAGATTAACAGCTATTGGAGACTTTTTAAGCTTCTGTCAGCACAAATTTCTGTAACCTGAAAAGATCATTGCACTTGAAATATAATTAAATTAAACATTGTTATCTACACCATTATACTGTTTTTATTTAATATTAATCAAAGTAATTACCAAGAAGGTGTGACTGATAAAAAATTATTTCGGAACATTATTTAGGGATTGCTTATAGAGCCAATTCAAAAATGTTATCTTAAGATTATGCTGTCAATAAAGGATTACCTGCTATAGGTAATCTTTTATTTCTGTCAATACAACAACTCCAAGTAATATATATATATATATATATATATATATATATATATGAGTTCATAAAACCTTTAACAATTATTTTCTTTACCCATCTATGACCATTGAGTTACACCATATTTATTATTAATGTTTGATTTTTTTTTTTTCTTTTTTTGGTCTCCTATCTCTTTCAAAATTTGAGTTATTCTATGGTCATCAATATAAAAAATAAAAAAATGACATTAGCTACAATGAAAAGCAACTAAAATTAGAATGAAATAAATGCTAGTCAGAAAATGCAATGATTGAGAGTGCTTCAACTAATTAAAAAAAAATATTAGTGTATGTTAAACCTAATATGGTAGCAAGTAATCAAACCTGATCAGTACTTGGATGAGGACCACTGGGTACTCTAAGTAAAAACTAGGTACAAAACCAGTTGAGCATGGGGCTAGCAACTTAATTGCTGTAGGCCCCATATTCCTCAGTGGAGTCTACGGGACTAATAGTGGAGAAGGAGTGAATACAATACAAATGACAAAAATAAACAAAAAAAAATGTTCATGCTCTATAAGCAGCTGTTCTTGTAGTATGTAAATTCTTATGCACAGTAGATCAACAAACTGAAATTGATTTGTTATTTAACATAGACAAAATTTCTTTTAAGACATAGGCTTGTAAAATCTAGCTATTCTAAACATAGAGGATATAGTTAAAGTATTTACAAATTATATTTGAAATATTACAAGACAAAAAGTAGAAAATGAAATACATTTCTCCTGTAGTAAAAACATCACTTGCATAACCTATTTTAAATCTTGGACAAGTCTTTCATTCCTACTTTTATTCACCAAGGTTTTCATTTGCACAAGACTTTTCCTTGCTGCACCCTTGGCACTTTTGATTGCAATCTGTTGGCAAAGATTTCTTTTTGTGAGGCCTACTGCTGCTGTCATATGCGATAGGCAACAATAAACTACAGAAGAACTCAAAATTGATCACAGCATTTAAGTATTGCATTAATGTTTAAGCATACCTTTAAATATTTAATGATAATTCTTCTGCTGCCACTTAATTTAAAGACAATTTGATGTACATAGGTCCTTATTTTCTGTACAAAATTATTTTTATTTCATGGGTGACTGTCACTGGATTTCGCAATTAATTTCAATTATTCCCAAATATATTTCCAATTTATAAATATTGTTATTGTACAAAAAAAATTACAAAAATATCACATTGCTGAAAACAATCACAGTAATGAAAACTTGGGAATCTAAAATTTCAGGATTATGGGCCCAGATCCAGCCTGGAATGTTTTTAATTTGCTCATGGAGTTAGCCTGATTCCAAAATGGTATATGTTGGGCTACGGTTTCTATGAGTAAAATTGAAAAAAAAAAATTATAACTTGTGATCTGTTAAATAAAATTGAGTGAGTTTGGAATAATGAGAAAGAAAGTTGAGTGCAAAAAAGTACTTCCCCCTTGAATCTATAAAGTAAAAAAGTAAAATGGGATCAGATTATTTTAAAAATTATTTATTAAACAATACTTCTTTAGGTGTAAATGTTTTATATAGACAAAAGAGAAAAAGCATGGAATAAGAAAAAAACAATCTTACCAATAATCATAAGAGCACTGGGAACAATTCAAAAATTATTTTTGAAGTGGAACCAGCAGAACTCTCAAGTCAGATAAAAATGGATTCTGACTGAAGATGAAGAGAATATTAGGAAAGAAAATAGTTATTCTAGGAATTATGGTGGAGTAATGGATAGCAGCTTGGATTGAGGAATCGGAGAGCCAAGTTTAAATTCCAGTCAAATCCATTACATTCACTTACGTACTAATACCCTTGGGAAAGGTATGAATCCTCTTCTTCTCTCAGTTATGGGTAAATAGTAGGACAGACTGGGTTCTATAGCTTTGGATGGCAACTGGTCTACCACAAAGAAATGGCAACCTACTGCAGGTACAAAATCTGCCTCGTCAGTCATGTATTGAAAGATACATGATTGCCCAAGCATAACTGACTGAATATTACAGTATTAAGGAATTGTGTTAGGTATAAATACTGTTATTCTAATATGGTGAATGAGTAACACATTAGCTTACTAGAAATCTTCATATAAGATGTGAATATTCTCTGAACCATTTTTAGAGAGGGAAAAAGTCTTATATAGCATCATATACTATATTGGCACAAGTATCTTGTTTTTGTTTTTTTTGTTAGTGATCACAATGTTCCTGGCAGTATATTCATATTTTTCTTACATTGCATCTTAAAACAAAATCCACTTTTCTTGTCTATGATTTTCTTTTGCCATGAGTCTAATTTAGAAAATCCATAAAAATGAACCAAATACTCAAAATTTCTGATTGTTAACAACTTTAGTTGGTCTGGGAGATTTTGTACAAAGATTTCTGAATGTGACAGGCACCTGAAGAAGGACAGAAGTAAGTGGAAGATAGTTGCTTGTATAATTGATGGAATAATTGTAAGACTTATTTCTTGTTGTCTTTAAGGACGTATCCTAATTTTGATTTGCAAAATTTTGTATAAACATAAAATTAAAGGAAAAAAAACAACCTTCAGTTTGTAGGAGACTAGATAATTTTTTTTAGACCTATTTTGAAAATGGGGAAATACAGTAATTCCTGACTGTTATACAACACAGACATTGGAACATTGAAAAGACTTCTAAAAGACCCACTAGATAAAGAGAAAGAAAGATAGGAAAAGAGAAAATAAATAATGTTTTTTTTTTTTTTTTTTTTACTTTAATGTTCAATCAGATAATGTTTCAATCACAGAAGAAGCTGAAAAAAAAAAAAAAAAGAAAAGAAATGATGCAAAATAATCTGCATATTGCCTGAGAAATATGAAAGTTGCTGAACACAAAAGTAAAAGTAGTACCCATAATTACTCACAGAATCAGGATGATTGGAAATTTGAAAGAGGATAGAAATTGCTGTAGTCTCTGAAAATTTTGGGAAATTTGTAACATCTGACAAACTTTTGATGGGAATATATAAATAAAATATGATGTGTACAATGATGATGGAGGCAACATGGAAAAGCTGAAATTTTTAGAAAGATGACTGAAGTGAAAAAAATACTATATAAAAAAAATGACAAACAATTCATTTTTTGTTTTGGAAAAAATGAAATGTGTTTTAATTTTTTTCAATTAAATATTTTAACTTAAAAGAATATAAAAAAACAACACTGAAAATATTTTGGAAAAGATTCATTTTCCATTTCCAGTAAAAAGATTTTGCTGTTTAACAGCAACAACCTAAATATTTACAGCATTTTAAAAATAGTGAAATAGAAAAAAAACATTTTTTAAATAAATCTGAGAACTTTGATTCTTAATTCAATTTTTTTTTCCAGTTTTCTAGAATGTTCATTTGAAGTTCCTGGCAAAAATACATTGAATGCTGGGAAAGAAAGTTTCAAAAATTTTCATTCAACAGCATGATGATGATAAATTCTAAGATGAATGACTAATTACTTACATGATTATAAAATCATTCTAATAGAAATAATGATTTCAGTCTGTGGAATTTTCTTAAAGAGGAATTAGTCATATTGTCAGAAAGGTCATGCTAATACTATTAAGCTAATTTGACAGCTTAATTCTAAAAAATCTAACAACTTAAAAAACAAAAAAACACGCACCCCTTTTTTAATTTCACAAGCAGAATTGTTTATTTAGGTTTCTTATATGTAAATCAGAAATATATTTATATCTTGGTCTAGATATAAGCAAATGTGTATGTACATGCATACATTGATATGCCTGTAAATTTTATATATATTTTTCTTTCAACTTGAGTTTTGTGTAAAAATTATAGGAATTACAGTTCTTTACAAATTTCATTTTCCAAAAAATCTGTGTCTTAATTTTTAGAGCATTCTCTTTTTCCATCTACAATCAGTCATTTCTGTTATTCACAGAGTCAATCAATAGAAAATGAGAAAATATCCTCGGAGTCTGGAATATTTAGAAAAAAAAAATCCAAACATCCATAAATAAGCAAAACAAAAAAACATGTTCATTTTTTGACATTTGAGCAAATATACAAAAATATTTAACAGTAAAATCTTTGTCCATCAGACAATTTTATAATAAAAAGAAAAAAAAATCACAAAAGTTTAAAAAACCAAAGCTAAATTATAACAGATTTGTCTTCAACTGCAACCATTTCCTTAAAGTCAATTGTGTTTAGCAGAGCTAAGGTCAATGTAGAAATGTCATAGAATACATTGTTTTATTGAAAGTGATCTTTTTCACTAACATTTAAAGACTCCTCCCCTTTTGCATGATCAAGAATTGATATTAATCTGAACGAAAACAAGATTTTATACAAATAACTTTGAAGAAGAAAAATATAAAAAGTTGTTATTTAAATGTGGACTGTTTGGCTTTTGTCAAGAAAATTTTTTTTCCAAATCAATTGGACAAAATAAATTAAAATGTGAATAGACACTAATCCTTTTAATAGGATTAGTGCCTATAATATAAAACAATTGGTACAATGATTAGTACAGTGAGCTTAAAAACAGTTTTACAATTGTTATC